AAAAACAGAAAAGAAGAAGAAAAAGTTACAGTCAAAGAGATTGGTATCACCGCTTGTAAATGGCCGGTGACCCTCACCGACAGAGAATAGTCAACAAAAATACACGTTGAAGCTGCCACAATAGTACACGTGGACGTTGCTGCCCAGTATTACGGGCCCCACTCCATCTTTATCGAAAATACCAAATTCATTTGGATTTCGCAAAATAGACCACCCAGATACAGTATATCGTTAACTCGCAGCAACAACATTTGAAGGGAAAAGGAACGAAAAGCTAGCCATTACCTTATTCGCTTCAGTCACGATGGTTTCAGTCTTCCCTTCTCCTTCGTGGATTGCACGACTGACCTCATCGTCTCTATTTTTACCACTGCTTAAATCATTACGATTGCCGGTCTAACCTCGTCGTTTACCGACGAGCTTTAAAGTCACATCTCGGTCTTCGACCTCAAATCAGAAGCGTGGTCGATCCGAAGCAGCTCCGAAACAGCTCAAAACACCACGAAAACACCTCGAAACATGATGTCGGTCGCCGGGATCCGACTCCACTTTTATGACCTCGGTACTATTACCGACCTCAATGATGAGCCGACATCACCGAGATCCGACTCGAGTCAATGGCCGACTTCAATTGTAATGGCCGACCTCAATTGTCGGTACCTACCGACTTCAAATTCAAAGGGCCAAGGCCAAATTTTTCCGATCCTACCGCCGGGGGCCGACAACGCTACATCACCGACCTCTCTTAATACCGAGCTACAAGATAGAAGTGCCGACTTCGTTTCTGCCGAGATGACCGATTTGGTTAAAAACCGACTTTAATTGTCGGCACCAATCGGCCTTATCTTCTTCGGCAACCACCGAGCTCCCCAAATCGGCCGAACCGACTTTCAAAAAAGGGGGACCGATACTTCCATCTCCGACTTCAAAGTCGATCGACATCATCATCACCAAAACACATGCCGTCTACCGACTTCCCAACTCACCATTACCGAGATCGAATTCAACCTCTTCAATCTCAAATTTCCTCCGAGCTCCAATCAAAATTGCCACGACCGACCTTAACGGCAAGGCCCAATCTCGGAACTCGAAATCGTGACCGACCTCCACGTCACTACATCAGTCGACCCCTAAATTAAAGCGCCTTCTCATGTTTGAGCCGCCGGAGTTCCGATCTTCACTGGCGTCGATTCCGACCTGTCAAAATCGACAATCAGCCACCAAACCAATCGAACGCTTTCCACTCAAATCGGATGATGCCAATCGGTCAAACTCGTGATGGCCAATTCGGTGAAATCGATCCCAGTGCCGCAACTCAAATCCCATCCTGAGAGGCTCTTCTAATTATTTCCTATTGGGCCTTTAGGCCCAAAAAGAAATAAATTGGAGCCTGCAAATCCGAGTAGTGCGGAAAAAAGCTGGGACCAAGTCCATTTATTTAGAGGAATTTGCATCCCTTACTTTAAGTTATGATATATATTACACTTATACACCTGTTATAATATTATTTATAAATTTATCAGAACATGAATAAAATATTACACCTCTACCATAAAAGTGATTAGACCAGATGTAACCGTATTATCCGGACAAATTAAAAGTAATTGGAGTAATTAATTCAAATCAGATATCTTCTTACCAAAAGAAAGCGGAACAATAAACCTCTCTCTCTATCATTACTCCCTCTCTCTCTCCAAAACCTCCCACCGCCCCCATGTTCACCCATCTCAACGCAAAGAAAATTTCTCGCCTGTGTCGGGGAGATCGAGATGTTGATATATTTTCTTTACAATTGGGCCGGATATATTTTCCTTACAATCGCTATCATTACATATTTTCACCCGCAGACATATTTTCTCTACAATTGCCATCATTACAGTTGTTGGGAGATCGAGACGTCGCCGGATATATCTCAACGCAAAGAAAATTTATCCCCGCCGCCGAATTCAGTTGGGCCGGATAAATTTTCTCTTTCGCAATTGGGGCGAATTTAGTTGGGATTACCGGAATTTGAGCTGTGTTTCCGTTTTCGGCCCTCCCTACACCTGCTTCATTTCTTCCAAGTTCCCCTTTCTTGACAAGATTATGAAAATTCACATTTTGCCCAACAGGTTTGATTATTTGGAGTTGAGTGCTGCCGTGAATTTGACTTTGAGGACCTTAGTTCCTAGCTATTACCTCAAAATCGAAAAGTTTTTGGACAAATTGGCTGCGAATGTTGTGAGGGTTACAGAGCCAAATTGGTGAGAACCTAACACTTGGACTTGATTCAATTTTTTAAGTATATGTATAGTATTTCTCAATATATGTATAGTATATATTTATGACAATATGTTCAACAATTTTTATTGCGTGTATAGGTAGGCAGTATATGTAGTGTCTCTCGGACCTTCAGATCATTACGGTGAAAAAGTGCGGTGGGAAAAGAGTTCACTTTTCACGTTGAAGATGAAACCGCAGTAGATGATTCGGAAGGAAAGTTTTGACTGTATATGTTGTGTATATAGACAGTATATAGACGGTATATTTGCAAGATCCAGATTATCGACGATACATGTTGTGTATATAGGCAGTATATTTTTAGTATATGTTTTTGTAGACAGAATCACATATATGTTTAGTTTATAAAACATGTTAATGCAAGATTTAGGTTTCTCGTGTTCATTACAATTGTCTATTGTGGTTATAGTTAGTATATTTTTAGTATGTATATTGTGTTTTTTTGTACAAGACGGATATCGAAACATTTTTCCATATATGTTGTGGGTATAGTTAGTATATTTTTAGTATATATTGCATTTTTTTGTACATAACATGTAATAATTCGATTTATACTTGGTTTATAATCTATAACAATTTATATAACATATAAGTATATATATATGTATATATATTTATATAAAGAGTTTTCTATTTTTTATTTTCTNAGTTACCTAAAAAAATGGAACTGAATCCACTTTATCGGCTACTTACTCTCCAAATTATGGTAACAAATAATCTCACATTAAAGCAAATAATATGCACTGATTTCGTACGGGTGTAAATATTTTATCTTCAATAATAAGTTTGCAATTATTTGTAAATCAAGTAGGATGTGTGTAAATTTCCCATTTATTTATACCGACAAAAAGCTTGGGCCGAATGGATTTATTCAAATTAACGATAGGTGTGACCGAACTTATTCACCTCGAGCTGATTTGTCATTTGGTCGACCCCTGGCTCATTAACCTATACCGAGTAATGAGGCCACATATACTTACTTACAATGCCGGAGTCGGATTCATTTACGTACGACGGAGGTTGAATTAATTTATCGAATCCGGTGCTGACTTCACTTATCTATGACGGAGCCGAGCTCATTTATCAATACTGGAGCTGGATTCCCTTACTTCCGATGAGGACAAATTCATTTATCGATGTTGGGGCCGAATTTATTTATCTACGCCCGCATCGAAGCCATTTATTGCCAACGTCTTATTATTGCTCGCCGTGAGCCACGACTCCGGCTGAGCCGACGTCTTATTATTGCTCGCCGTGAGCCACGACTCCGGCTGAGCCGACGTCTAATTATTGCTCGCCGTGAGCCACGACTCCGGCTGAGCCGACGTCTTATTATTGCTCGCCGTGAGCCACGACTCCGGCTGAGCCGACGTCTTATTATTGCTCGCCGTGAGCCACAACTCCGGCTGAGCTCACGTCTTATTATTGCTCGCCGTGAGCCGCGACTCCGGCTGAGCTCGCGTCTTATTTTTGCTCGCCGTCGAGCTTCGACTCCGGCAGAGCTAACATTTATATTTACTCGCCGTCGAGCTTCGACTCCGGCAGAGCTAACATTTATATTTGCTCGCCGTAGAGCCTCGACTCCGGCAGAGTTGTTATTTACATTTTCTCGCCGTTGAGCCTCGATTCCGGCTGAGCTGACGCATATATTACCTCGTCGTTGAGCCTCTGCTCCGGCTGCGCCCACACTGGTTAGGCAAAGTCAATAAGATCTTTCCGGCTGGGCAACATTAAAATACATCGGCACAATAAACAGTCGAATCTCGAAATATAATTCGGCTAGCCGACTCTTAAAGTATTTTAGTCGGAAATAAAAATTTCCGACCTTCCTTTAAAAATTCACCGAGTAAAATAAAATGCTGAATATTTTAGTCAGAAATAAAAATTGCCGACGTTCCTTTAAAAATTCAGCGAGTAAAATAAAATGTTGAATATTTTAGTCGGAAATAAAAATTGCCGACGTTCCTTTAAAAATTCAGCGAGTAAAATAAAATGTTGAATATTTTAGTCGGAAACAAAAAATACCGACGTTCCTACATATACAATATTCCGGTAAGGCAGAGCACCTACCGGCAGACAAAGTCAGACTCGACAAAATATTGAGGTAACATCATTTTTCGTGCGTTAATCATTTGTTGCACGAAATCATCATATCTTCACGCATTCATACATACATTCATACGCGCGTCATACATGCATCTTGACATAAACATAAAAGGTCAAGCCAAAATAAAAACCCACACTGGTTAGGCAAAGTCAATAAGACCTTTCCGGCTGGGAAAAATATAAAGAGAAAATGTGACACCGAGTTCTTCAGCTCGGTAAAATAAAATAAAAAATCCTTAAGGCCGAATAAGACCTTTCCGGCTTGGGAAAATACAAAACAAAAATCTTTACACGAGTTCTTCAGCTCGATAGGGTAAAGCCTTTACTTACACCAAGTTCTTCAGCTTGGTAAGGTTAATACCCGTTTTTATAAACCTTAAAGACCCACACTGGTTAGGCAAAGTCAATAAGACCTTTCCGGCTGGGAAAAATAAAAATAAAAATAATTCGGCTACCCGACATTGGCACAGTAAAAAGGCCGAATCTCGAAAAATCATTCGGCTAACCGATGTCGGTACAATAAAAAAGCCGAATCTAAATAAAATTAAAAATATTAATAATTCGGCTAACCGAAGTTGGCACAGTAAAAAGGCCGAATCTCGAAAAATCATTCGGCTAACCGATGTCGACACAATAAAAACGCCGAATCTAAATGAAAAAATAATAAGAAAATCTTTTCCAAACCCTGAAGTTGGTTTGGCAAGGCTAACGCCTTACATATTACATCAAAGATCGGGAACACACTGCCCAACCGAGAAATAATTAAATAAAAATAAAAGACCGAAGACCGGATACCAAATAATCCGATCAGGTCCATATAATAAAGAAAAATAATCACAAAACGAACAAAAAATCGCATCGTCTCAATACGACAGAATCGCGAGTCCGGTAACAATTCCGGGGGCCCGAATGCCCACACAAATCCATATCATTATTGCAATTACAAAAGCAATTCATTAAACGCTTCACGTAACGCGCAAAAACGCGAAAGACGGGTAACAAATTTCCCGACTAGGCCACCCAGGTCTCACTCAAAATTCCAGAAAAATTGACTATCCACGTCATTAGCTCCACGGGTCCCAAAGTACCCGGCCAACATTGATTACGGCCAAAATTGATTATACACGCGACTTCAGAACAGTTCTTTTTAAAACATGCCCTAAAGTCGGGGGCCTACTGTTGATACCAAATTTTGGCCTAGCTAGCCTATTAAAAAATTACGCGTGGATATATATATTAAATAAATTATTTTATTTTTGGGCCTTAAATAATACCGCTTGTGATAATATCGGGCCCATTAAATATATATATATATATATATCCCCGATGATGGACACAGACAGATAAGTCTGAGGGGCTATTATAATGTTTTCCTCTCTCATCCGCAATAAACTGGCAGTGCTTGGGGAGATTTTCTTTCCTGGATCTTCCTTATTCTTTTTTCATGAAAAATATACATAAAAAAAAATCCTCAAAAATCACCGAAAAATCCCATACAAATAAATACACAATAAATTCCCCTGAACCCCCATGTTGATCAAATTTCGAGCATCAACATACATATTATGTATTTTCAAGATAAATAAATGTTAAATATTAAATAACAAATATTAAAATAATAAATATATTTTTATAATATAGATACTAAATTAGTTCGATTATTTCGGTTAATTTAATTAACAAACCGAATAATCCAATTATATCGTCCAATTTTAATTTGGAGGAGCACATAAAAAGACGCGCATCGTATAAATGCACGATAGTATTAAACAAGATGTTATTGTCTGTAAGAATGCACAATAGTGTTAGATCAAATGCACGTTAACGTGTACAATAATGCATATTAGTATAAATCGTATAATATTCATAAATGTTAAATATATTTTTATTAAATAAATAATGTAATAAATTCAAAATAATATTGATTGATATACACATTACTAAAGTTGTCTAAAATTGCACATAAAAAAAATAGATTGCACAATAATGTTAAACGATCTGCAAAATAGTGTTGGTGATAATGCACATTACTTTATGTATTATGTAAGTTAAACCACAAATAATATAAAATACTAAAACATAAAATATATTTTATACAATATAAATAATAAATTATTTCAATTATTTCAGTTGACCAATATAGTCGGTCAAACGATTGAATATATTGATTATTTAAGGTTGGTTTTAGTTTAGTTTGTGACAAATCATTAAAAAATGCAAGCAATGTCAGTGCACAATAGTGTTAGAAGAATTGCACATTAATATCTACAAGGTTGCACAATATCGATCAAAATTAACTAACTTATAATTTCGGTCAAAATATCTGTTTTTACTTTAAAAACTCAATTATTTCGGTTCGATGTCGATTTTTTTTAAACCAAAATAATTAAACGAATGAACGAAATAAAAATATTATTATTATTATTATAAATTTTATGTAAAAATATTATTTAATTCAGCCAAAACAATATTACAAAACTAAATATAAAAAAAATGAATTATGTTTTGATTATTTACAAAATTGACACACGTATTAAATTGCAATATAACAAAATTTACAAAATTGCAACTAGGTTCTATTCATATCAAATTCTGAAAAGCAAACCCAACTCTACACACCACCCTCCCATGACTGAAACCTAAATGTGAGCTGTAACAGTTGGTCGTCGGTTCCGGCTAGTCGGGGCTGTTGGCGGCCGCCTGCCAGATGGCGTGTGGCATCTCGTCACTCATCCTCAATTGTATAGGACGGCGTTCGGCGGTCGGGTTGCTGTGGCGGAGAAGACGACCGGAATGTGGCGGTGGAGATGGTGACGACAACGCCAGTGAGATGGTGTTGGAGTACGTGTGACAGTGGATTG